TCGCTTTTAACGGGGAATCCTTACAGTAGTACCGGTAGTAGTAGTAACTACTTTGAGTAATGAATCATATTTACAAATCCGTTTGTGTACTTCTTAGCAAGAACTTCAGTTTCAGTAAAAAGTCATTTAATTTCTAATAAACAATTTATTATATTTAATATCACTAACAATGAATACATTATTCATCATGCCTATGTATTTGGCCTGATGCTGAAAAAAATTTGTCCTAACCTAATTTAACGTGTTATCACTTTCTAAACATAAAGTATGTGAGTTTTTCTTTGTTGTATACATTGGCCTATATTTTATTCAGGGCAGACATCAGTATCAATTGTGTATATTGTATTTTTTTTTTATTGATTGTTTAACTCCAGCTGTATATATCCAGTTAGGTGGGTGAACCCAATTTAAAAGGGAACGTTGGAATTAGGCACACGGGGGAAAGGATCTTACTTTAATGAGTTTAAATGAAAAGCGGAACAAGGCTTGAAAAGAACAGACGGAACAATTAAAAGGAATTTTTCTCGATGCCTTCTTCGGCAGATTACACAAAACAAAAAACTAAAGATACTTGAATTAATATTTTATAATATAATTTAATACAGAAATAAAAAATCCAAACTTATGTGTTTTAAAATCTCAATACGGTGAATGTTGCTCAATGTTTAGAACTTGGGAGCGCTTTATGTTGATTGGCTGACTGAATGCCCAGGAATTATCTATACATTTTGCACGTTAAAATAAGACATTTAAGTACTTTTTTCAGGCTATTATGAAATAGAAGATCATTTTGAAACATAGTTGCACGAATGAAACTTGGAGACGTTGAAGGGAGATTATTTTCTCAGCCACCATCATGTAGATAATCTATCAGATAAAGTTACAAGGGTGCTCTTATTTGCGAATTTCTTGCCATCAAATGTATTGTACCGGTACTGTGGAAAAATTAGAAATGACACTTGTTGCTTGGGTTTTCAAACTAATCAAGGAATTATCATGGAGGCGAAATTTGCATACATTCAAAACGTTGGTAATTAAATAACACTTTTTTTTGCTTTCATTTTTGTTCTTTACCGTTTTTCATAATGTTGTAGAGTTTTTTGTGGACTTTTGTACAGTTTTTTTATCCCGCAGGTTGATATGCTTACTTCCAACGATTTTGTTAATAGGTTTATTATCAATTAACTGTTCTATGTTTATTAGCATTTACTTTTATTAATAAACCATTCTGAAGTACTGTGAGGAAATAGTGTGAGAATCATATTTAGTTGTATGTAGTTTTTTTACTGTTGCGTGTGTTTTTAAATGTGGTAAATTTTAGATTGTTTTATTTCTCTTTTTAATATTTTTTATAGTACCACGCTTCGAGCTTTTGGGGATGAAGCGTGTTTTTCAAATAAACTTAATTATTAATAATAATAATAATAAAGTTTATTTCAAAAACACGCTTCATCCCCAAAGGTTCGAAGCGTGGTACAAAGTCAACCACATCTATAATTTACCACATTTAAAACAAACGCAACCCTACAAAAACTAATTACAAGCAAACCAAGTCAAAGTCTTTCTACCCATTTCAACCCTAAGCAACATAGCGAATATGCATTAAATGGAAGATATGGTACACAATCATCCCAGAAAGTGTTTGCGAAATAGATGCGTCCTTAAATCAGTTTTAAAGGACTCCAATGTCTGGTTGTTTCTGAGATCGACTGGAAGGGCGTTCCAAATTGTTGGACCAGCAAATGCGAAAGTGCGCTTTCCGTAAGTCTCAAGGCGAACATGTGGTGTCAAGAGTTTGCCACTATCGGATGAGCGGAGTTGTCTAGTGGGTACATAAGGCGTCAGCAGCTCTTTCAGATAGGACGTCGCCAGGTCATGTAAGCAGCGACAGCACAAAGTTGCGATTTTGTACTCTATGCGAGCACGGACTGGCAGCCAATATTATTATTAAATTTGTTAAGAAAATTTGTTAGGAGTAAGGTGTTACCTCAAATTTTTACATTATTTCTTGATTATTGTTTTTTTAAGCAAATGCCACTTTGGAGTAAAACCCAATTCCAATTGTTTGGAACAGATTTGTGTTGGTGCATATCTAAAATAATAGAAGTACTTGTTCATGTATCTTGCTTTACAGGGAAATCATGATTGTGACTAATCATTACATACAGTTGGTGAGATAAGCAGCTAGAAAAAAAGAAACGTTCACTATTGAACAACGTCTTAAGCATTCTGTTAGATTCCAAATAGGGCTGAGAATGATAATAGAGCCTGATTGAAAAGGCAACATGCCCAAAATTACTACAAATTTACATCAATTGATAATAGCATAAAATGTTTCACTGAAAACAGATGAAAATGTGAAAACAAGGGATTTGGGTGGGTGGATAAATAACAGTAGACCAGAAAAAAAAATGGGGGTGGGGGGGGCAATACTAAGCATATGGAAGTGACCAACCATAATGTCAATAACTTTGTTATGCCACTAGGTCTACAGTATTCCATCTTTTTTTTTTTTTTTCTTATATTTGAGGGGCCCACGAAAAAAAAATGTCAATAACTTTGTTTGGGCAATAGGTCTACAGTATTCCATCTTTTTTTTTTTTTTTCTTATATTTGAGGGGCCCACGATCAATTTGTTGATCATTCTGGCTCCTGGTTTAAATTCAGAGTTTGCCTTCTCTGAAGGCAGTCCTGCGTCTGCACTAGATTTGATTGATTTGCACGACGAGAACTCGGCAGGGTACACTTGATAAATTCACTTTAATTTTTTTTTTTCAATTGGGAATATGCTATTTAATAACAACATTTTTTTCTTTTATTTTCAGTCACTGTGCCATATATCCCTTCTTCTCACCAAGTTGAAAAAACAATATTTTGCCTTGTGCCATAACAAGATGGCAGATCTTGTTCATTCTTTGCTCTGCCTCAAGGGAGAGGATCAAGCATCAGGGGAGGTCACCAAACTTGTGCTTAAGCTGGGTTTGGCTGATGGTTTTGACCCACCAGTGAAATCCAATACTAGCCTTCCCAGCACTCCTTGGGGTAGTCCCAAGACTAGAAAAACCCGTCAGGATTCTAGTAAAACTCCTCCAAGAAGTGGATTCCGCATCATGTCACTCTTTGAGCGAAAGATGCCACCAGATGATAAAAAAAGTTCGTTCTATGTCGAAGTTGAGGCCGGCAAGCATGAACTGAAGGGGCTCCAGGGGGAAGAACTATCAGCCGTGTCTGTGACTTCTGGCAATCATGATGGCAGCAGTTACCTCTCCAACCAAGGCAGTCTTCAGTGCCATGACCATTTCTCGTATCAACAAGGCCGAGTCGGCCATGGCGGCCAAAGTAATCTCATTCAGTTTAAATCAGTCATTGAGGACACCTCAGTGGATCATGGATCTTTTCAATTTTTGTGTAGGTGTTGTAGCACAATGTTCCCTTTGTTTGAGGAAATGCAATTGTTACCCTTTTCATCTTTGGTGAGATGCTCTTAAAAGCTTCCCTTTCCACTGTTGGTTCAGATACAATTAATTTCTTCCAATGTTTAAAAACTCCTCAATTCTCAAAATGGGACAATGTCTAGAGATTTTCCAATAAACAAATCATTATAAATTGGCTAGGGGTTTTCTACAACTCATCATGCATCAATACATTTATTTTATCAATGCAAAAAGGAAATAAAATTCCTACTATATAACATGACTTGATTTTTCTGAATTCTTAACTACAATTAACTCCTCCTAACAACCAACTGCATCACATCCAATACACAAAAACTGTCATGAAAAGAAATAACCTACTAAAAAAAAAATGTTTTAAATTAAAACCAAATCACATTCTCAAAACAAACCATTGAATCTCTTGCATCAGATCACATTCTCAAAACAAACCATTGAATCTCTTGCATCAGATCACATTCTCAAAACAAACCATTGAATCTCTTGCATCAGATCACACTCTCAAAACAAACCATTGAATCTCTTGCATCAGATCACACTCTCAAAACAAACCATTGAATCTCTTGCATCAGATCACACTCTCAAAACAAACCATTGAATCTCTTGCATCAGATCACACTCTCAAAACAAACCATTGAATCTCTTGCATCAGATCACACTCTCAAAACAAACCATTGAATCTCTTGCATCAGATCACATTCTCAAAACAAACCATTGAATCTCTTGCATCAGATCACATTCTCAAAACAAACCATTGAATCTCTTGCATCAGATCACATTCTCAAAACAAACCATTGAATCTCTTGCATCAGATCACACTCTCAAAACAAACCATTGAATCTCTTGCATCAGATCACATTCTCAAAACAAACCATTGAATCTCTTGCATCAGATCACACTCTCAAAACAAACCATTGAATCTCTTGCATCAGATCACATTCTCAAAACAAACCATTGAATCTCTTGCATCAGATCACACTCTCAAAACAAACCATTGAATCTCTTGCATCAGATCACATTCTCAAAACAAACCATTGAATCTCTTGCATCAGATCACATTCTCCAAACAAACCATTGAATCTCTTGCATCAGATCACATTCTCCAAACAAACCATTGAATCTCTTGCATCAGATCACATTCTCCAAACAAACCATTGAATCTCTTGCATCAGATCACATTCTCCAAACAAACCATTGAATCTCTTGCATCAGATCACATTCTCCAAACAAACCATTGAATCTCTTGCATCAGATCACATTCTCCAAACAAACCATTGAATCTCTTGCATCAGATCACATTCTCCAAACAAACCATTGAATCTCTTGCATCAGATCACATTCTCCAAACAAACCATTGAATCTCTTGCATCAGATCACATTCTCCAAACAAACCATTGAATCTCTTGCATCAGACTTGGAACCTTTTTTTTTTTTTTTTTTTTTTTTTTTTGCCACTGTTCTTGGGAAGCAATGAAACAATATTCCATGTTGCCATTCATCCCCAGCTTCCAAATCCCAGCTTGCCACAGAGGAAGAGTTGGAGAGTGTGATCAACTTGCTGTCGGGTGTGGGCTGCGGGTCAGTTTCCCCCATGCAGGTCATCCCGGAGGTGGTACCCCCCCAGGGCCCCATGCAGCTGACCGTGCCTCAGATCTATCGCATGCCGAGCCCCTCGTGTGACACCCAGCTGGAGGAGCTTAGAACACAAAAATCTCAGGTGACGTTTGCGTGCTGCACTGCTGAATATTTACATTATTATGTGATGAGCATTTCAAAATTTTACAAGTGTTTTTTAATTCAAATTTTGTGTACGTCTTTTGATTTTGTTTTTGATACTGAAACAATTTTTGTAGAAACTTGAATATCTTGACAGCTGGTTGTGCTGACTTGTGATCCAGGCAAATATTCTTTATATGTCTGGCAAGGGAAGTGGAACTTTATGATCGTTTTAGTTTCAGAACAAGACATGTGTTGCATGCTGTCATGTTAAAAGCTTTTAGAATTCATTGCAGATATTTTATAGTAAAATTACTTTGATTTTATCACTCTTTGAAAGTATTTAGAGTAACACTGCTTTTTTTAAATTGGATTTTGTGGGGCTTTGATTATCCTAATTCTGTTATTGTCGGTATACCCCTGGTGGCAATTACTGGTAGAGTTAATTTATGTTTTTAATTGAATTTCTACTGCAAATGTTTTATTTATGTTTGAGCTTAAATTGTTAAGCAAATGTGGCGGGATTTTATTGTACTTTATGTATTCCATTTTCATATAAAACATTGAATACATAATATATATATATCTAGTGTCATTAGAAGTACCTAAATTGTCTTTTCTCAGTTACTTTTTAAAAACTTGTCCACATTAAAAAATTTAAACATTAGTGTTAAATAGATATATCTTTGACAATTCAGGTTCACAGGAGATCAGAAGGTTGTCTTGACTTGTCAGCTGTTGGACGTAACATGTGGCCCCAGCAAAACCAACATCACCACCGTGCCAGCCTCCCGTCCGTTCAGATCTTCTCCGCATCAGGCCACAGGTCTGGTTTTGAGACACCTTCCCCTGTACCTTCCTACATTCGAGACTCGCCTTCCCCAAACTACGTGCCCGCCCGTGACCCGCCGAGCCCTGGGTACTTTCACGGTGACCCCCCTTCGCCCTTCCGCTCTCAGTGTGGCAGCACGTTGGGTGTTGGCGTGAGAGGTGCTCAGCCCAATATGCTGTCCCCGCTCCAGTGGGCCACGGGGCCAGGCTGTATGAGTGGTAGAATGAGTGGCTACGACACTAGCATCAATCAGCATGGGACATGGCCTGCATATGGAGGAGTCTCGCCACTGTCCACTGGGTAAGTGTGAAGTTTTTAACAGCACAGTTGTTTCACCCAGGATGGTGCTACAATTCTCACTGGTGCTGTGCTTTGTTTCATCAAGTAAGTGCTCTAATTATCATTAGTGCAGCACTTGCTTTCAGCAAAATAGATGCTCCATTTGTCATTTTCTCTCTGTTTCAGCCAGGTAAGTATAAAAATGTTATTGATACAATGGTCTTTCAGCAGCTAGATGCTAAAATTCTCACTAGTACAGTGCTATGTTTTACCCGGAATTATGTTAGAACAGTTACAATGCTATTGTTCAGCTGGTTGGTGTTAAAACTGGCACATCAGTACATCACCATGCTCATAGATCCCAATAACCAACATCATTTTTTTGCGTCCAACATTTGATGCAAGTTTGATGTATTAGCTTGATGCATCTTTCAACTAATAGTTCTATCTCCCCTTCCCCCCCCNACCATCCAGTACTGCTGAAACCTCCAGCTGGGCTGCTGTCCAAGACTGCAGTGACGTCAGTGATGACTCATCTACAGAGGACCAGTTTTTTGCTGTTGGAAAAGATTTGTCTCATATGATTGGCTCCAAGTAGGTACCTCATTGAATAAAATACACATTCATAGGTTATTAAATAAATCTACTCAGAATTAACCCAAACTAAAAAAAAAACAAAAAAAATTTTTTCAATTTAAATGGAGGATGGATAGAGGTTCATGGTGCAATTAACATATCCCCAGTCTAACTGCTGTATTCTGGAAAATATAGTTTTCAGAATTTGTTGTTTGATTACATAGTTTAGTAAGTGGTTTATTTTGTCTCTTTGTCAACATAGAAAATTATGTTCCCCTGGAAGAAAATTTAAGGAAATACCTCGATTCAGACTGTAAGGGGGTGCCATAAGTTCAGGTTTTTTTGTTTTTTTCAAAGTTTAAATTATTTGATTGTGTTTGCTGTCTAAGGCAAGGGTGGGCAGACTGTGGCCTGTGGCCCACCTCATGCAGCATGCTGAGAAGGGGATTAATATTTTCATAAAATATTCAAACTGTGAATGATTATCTGTAAAAGCCTGACAATTAATAATCACTGTAAAAATGGTCATAATAAATTATAAATACCGTAATTAGAGCAAATCTAAAAATGATTCTGTAATTGAGGGACAAGCAGTTTGAAAACTAGTATCAGAGAGAAATAGTATAATTTAAACTTTGCTATCTTTCTCGGTTTTACTCCAGTAACCTTATTTTTTTGTGTACATTGTCAGAAATGGCAGCAGCGATGAAGACGTCGGAAATGTACATCATGGACCAAAGGTAGGACTAACTTCCAGATGAGGGCTGGTCAAGTGTTTTGATGTGGGTTTTGAGGTTTAATTTGTAGTTCAAAGTAATTTTGCATAAAGAGTTGAGTGGTTAGGAAGTTAAAGTACCATACTAGTAAGTGTTCATATTACCATATTCTATGTCAGTTGATTATTCTGATTATTTTAATCTGCCTTTACTACAAACATTTTTTTTTAAAGCACAAATGTGTGTACATATAAATATATGTCTTAAAAATTAAAACTAATATGTCAAGTCAATAATCGAACCATCCAATATGTCAAGTCAATAATCTAACCAACCAATATGTCAAGGCAATAAATTGACTGGTTTTTGTGGAAATATTTATCATTAAGTAGTAAAAAAAAATACAACAAATAATACAATATATTCATTATTGACTTGACATATTAGTTTTCATTTTTAAGACATATTTGATATGATAAATACATGGTTGTCGGTTGTAAAGTTAGTGTTCTGACTTTTCCAACTTCCTTTTATGACACAACCCACACCGCTACAGAACTCCTGGCCCCCACCGCCCCCTCACAGTTCAACCCTTCTGACAAGGGGTGTGACTCCTGACCTTCTGGAGCCCCCAGAACTGTACAATGCACACCGGCCTATACAAATGCAGTGGAGTGATCCCTTGTCATCTAGATCCATGTGGGCCAACTCACCACAGGGTAAACAGATTTTACAGAAGTTAATGTGCTAGAAACAAGTAGCGTTTTTTTTTGTTTGAATGTCCTGCGGCTCCGATGGGCTAAAAATATATGGCAACTTGTTCTTTTAGTCTGTTATTTAAATATTGAATTCACTCAACATATTTCTAATTTTTTTGTCAAGCTCTATCTGTCTTTCATCTTATTAATTCTTTTTAAAAATAAGTTTTCATGTTGTAGATGTACTACATTTGTTTTATTTTTTTTTTTTTTTTTCAAATTTAATTTTTTTTTTTTTTTTTTTTTTTTTTTTTTTTTTTTAATTTTTTTTTAAAATATTTTTTTTTTTTTTATTTTTTTTTTTTTTTTTTTTTTTTTTTTTTTTTTTCAAATTTAATTTTTTTTTTTTTACTTACTGCATCTACGTAGTAACTTTGATAAATGTGCTACTGATATTGTAATGTGTGAACTTTCACAGATATAAATCAACACAAAACATCACAGAGTATGCAAGGATTTGGCGGGGTGCAGTAGGCGAGCTGACTCAGACAGTCTAAGTAATGTCTAACCTTGAGGCTTGTGGCCTTAAAATTAATGAAGCTTTTCACCTTTGGAAACCACATTGTTTTTCACTGTTGTTGTTCTCCTCTCATTTTTTTCCCCTATTTCATGCCAAAAAATTATGCTATTTATTGTACTTGGTCAAAGACCTAAGAACTTAGTTACAATTCCAAGTATTCACAAGTGAAGCTGCAGTTGAAAACTGTCTTCATATTCTGAGTCATCATTAAGCAAGCCAACAAGCCAAATGCTTCAGTTATTAAAGGAATGTGTGGGGCAAAAAATACTTGTGAAAACATTTTTATAATATTAATGTCAACATTGTAAACTTGTTAGCATTGAAGTCCAAAACTCTGCTATGCATCTCAGGTTTTACATTTTCCAACTTAATCCACTGCTTGGATCTTTCTCGTTAAATTACAACAAAAAAATGCTCTTGGTGTCACACTTGAAAACATTTACGTCAAGAAATTGGGATGTTCATTACCTTTTTTTTATATATAAAGTGAGAGGTCCAGAGATTAGCTAATAATTTGAACGTTTGCTTCTAGGTTATTCAAAGACAAAAACACTTTTTCATTAAAATTATCCACAGGCTATAATTATAAATGATCAGTGATATATTTTAAAGAAGCCTCTATCCAATGCTTTTAATGGAAAGCACCAATAAGATAGGAAGTACTGTAGCAACAATTTATGTAGGACTACTTTGAAATGGAATTATCTGGATATTTTTTTTTTTTTTAAATAACTGTCAATATAATTTATTCCATATAATTGAAGAAGCTAATTAGGATATTCAACTTGCTATTATTTGTATTTTTTTTTGCACTCCCCTGTTTTAAAGGTATACTAAAGGAAATTGTGTAAAATACTCAAGTTTACCGATTTTCTGTTTTTCAATTTAAACATTTCCTGTCTGTTCGCAATTAAAATGTTAAAGCCAGTTTTTTTTTAATTGTGTTTTAAAAAATTTGAAAACATCTGTTTTGTTACTACATGTTTGATATTGATTGATTTGCTGGGTTTTTTTTTACCTGGGTTAGAAATTTATTGTAAATTATTGTTGTGGTTAAAATTGATAAATTTTACCATTTTAAAATGCTCTCAAATTGGTGCTTTTTAAAAAAAATATTAATTATGAAAGGAAAATAGGCTCCACCAAAAACAAATGTAATTGTAAGTTTAAATTACGGTAATTCTGAAGTGACCTTCTATATTGCAGCACACATAACCAAAAAACATTTTTTAAAATTACCTGCATTTGTTGCATTTTACGAACAAAGGCGGATGACTTTTCCAGTTCATGTATTGTATCAATGAGACATCACTTAAACTGTATTTTTTGTAGCAGTGGGATAGGCTTTTATAGTAAAATGACAGTCAATTTGAAGTTCTATTTGTGGAGTCCTTATGACTGAAGGTTATAATCTTGTCCATCTGATTTTCAACATTATACATAAATTGCAAAATTATGTAGATGTAAACAAGGAGTTGTATGTAAAATTTTTCTAGTAACTTTGGGGTCTTTAATTCCATGAATTCATTCATATTCTTAGTTAGTAATCATGAAATGTTGAACTAACTGTTAGTAAATCATGAATTGTTAGATCACAACTGTTACCATGAAATTTGTATCCCAATTGTTGGTAATCATGAAATTTTGGACCCAAATGTTGGTAATCATGAAATTATGGATCCCAATTGTTGGTAATCATGAAATTTTGGATCCCAATTGTTGGTAATCATGAAATTTTGCATCCTAATTGCTGGTAATCATGAAATTTTGAGTCCTGACTGTTATTCCATATTGATGATGTTATTTTGCTTGTGTCTGTTCTGTTATCTTATGTTGAGTTGTTTCCTTACATTAAGGCCCCTGACCTGTGTCCAACTGGCAGTGTCCAACACATTGCAGTGTAGCAAAATCTTATCTTACTAAGGCATCTGGCCCTGACCTGTGTTAAGTACTATACTCTGTGTCCAATACATTGCAGTGTAACAAAATCTTGTCTTACTACGGCACCTGGCCCTGACCTGTGTCAAGTACCATACTGGCAGTGTCCAACACATTGCAATGTAGCAAGGTCTTGTATTTTTGTCTAGAACCTACAAAAGACCAATTATAATTTTTCATACTTTACTCCTTGTTGTTGCTTGTTGCTTTTGAATATTCCAAGTTACCGAGGCAGTGAGGAGGGAAGAGAAAGTAATTCAGTGGTGACTGCCTTTCAGATCTTGTAGCAGAGTTAGCTTTTCTGAGGTTCAAACTCTGTCCTCTATTTCTGGGAAATCTGTCATCTATTTCTGTGAAAACTTTCTGTCTCATCACCTCCCCAAGTGCCGGGGTTTGTTTGTAGCAATCTAATTATTTTTAATGTATCACTAATGTTAGACTTTAGACTATAGCTAATAGAGAGAGGGTTATGTGTACATTTCAATGTAACCATTGGGGTTGTCTGGTAACATAACCAAAACTGATAATGTTAATTTTCTCATAGACCTTAGTCATTTATAATGTGTTTACAGACGTATAACTCTGCTATGTCTATCAAATTTTATTTTAACTTGCCTAAATCACTCGGTGTCATGGATGCACGTGGTCTCTCTGATTCTTTTTTTAGCTTATTATTTTAATTTTTTTTTAACGTGGGAGTCTGAAGAAAATACTCTATTCGGACTGAAACCCAACCAAAGTCAACCCTACCAATGTATTTCAACTCTGGACTGATAGTTTTATTCCCCATCCCTGAAGTTTGTACTGGCTATGTGAATGAGAGGATATTGGTTGAATGGTGTGATAGGCGTGCAACATGAATGCAGTTGTGTACTAGGAACCCTTTTTACGTTTGCTGTCCATGCACTGTGATGTCAAGTGTTAGATCAGTGTCAAGCTTGTCCATGATGAAATATCTTCCATCAGACAAATGCAGCGATGACTACATTTTTTTAAACCCAGCAGCTTTCATTTTTTTATTTATTGAAGCGTTCTAGTCAAATTGTGCACCGTGCCCCAAAACTAGCAGCACTGAAACTCCTGCATCTTGAACAATTACATGCCCTTGCCAACTGTGCGTAGCTCCAGCTGTCACACATATGCCCATTGGTCACAAGGAAGATGTTTTGGGCAGTTGTACGGTAGCTGGAAAAGGGTCTCTCATGCCCTTGCCAACTGTGCGTAGCTCCAGCTGTCAAACACATGCCCATTGGTCACAAGGAAGATGTTTTGGGCAGTTGTCCCATTGGTCACAAGGAAGATGTTTTGGGCAGTTGAACGGTAGCTGGAAAAGGGTCTCTCATGCCCTTGCCAACTGTGCGTAGTTCCAGCTGTCACACATATGTCCAAATGTCACAAGGAAGATGTTTTGGGAAGTTGTACGGTAGCTGGAAAAGGGTCTCTCACTGGAGCACAAGGAACAAATGCCGGCTGGAGCTATGCACCCTTAACAAATGCACATGCGTGTCCAGTTTGCAGGAGTTTCAATACTGCTAGTTTTGGCGCATACTTTGTTTTTGGTAAGGTTTTTTTAATTACTAGTCCTTTTTTTAATGCTTTATTTTTATTTATTTTTTTAAAAAGCTAGAATTCCTTAATCTTCCAAACAGGGTTTTTTCCACTATTTATCCATCTATTTCTGTTTTATACAAAAATGTATTGTTTTAGCTTGCCAAGACAACATGCTTTGTAACTCATGAGCTTAAACTCTGTGTGATCTATAGATTCTGTACTGATCTTAGTTTTTACAATCATCCTCCCCCCCTCCCCCAACCCAGACTGAAATTAAATTTTTATGGAAAGCACCAAAGTAGATTAAATGAGCCCTAACATAAAAGAGCCCATTTAGTGTATTGCAATTATAGATTGTTCTGTTGGCACTTAATTTAACATTGTGCCAAGCATCTTACAATTCCCCATTTTTTAAGATTAAGTTTAAAATATTTTATAAAGATATATCTATGCAAAAAAAACAATAATTAAAAATGACTGTTACGTATTGCTTCAAATGAAACATATTGATTGTAAGTTATTAATCATATTTAAAACGGCATTTCAAGATGTACCTCCTCACCAGCCTCCCCCCCCCTCCACCCCCAAATCTAATCACTTACACCCAATTTATACTTACTCCTCAATTTAACATCATCAAAGATTAGGATGATTGGTCTCAGTGAGACATTGTTCCCTCAGCTGGAACACTTCTTCTCACTGCAGACTTAAGATCTTTGTGTTTAGGTGGCTAAGGGAAATATTTCAGAGCGAAGTGTAAAGACTGGCCATTGTCTGTTTTTTTTTTTTTTAAATAGCTTAAAGCTTCTTAAAAATGCAATGTATTTTCACCAACAGGTTTACATCTTTTTTTATACATTCAAATTACCGTCTTTATTGAAGTCAAAAGTAATATTTAAAACGGGGGTTTTCACAACAGTTTTGACGCAAACACTCAACATAGAAAAGCATGTCCATTAATTATTGCAAAACAGTGCTGGAAAAAAAAACAGAGGGGGGAGGAGGGGGGGGAGGAGGGGGGGTTGTTATTGTTATTTATAAATAGTTTTACATTTTTTTACATTTTAATTTAAAGACTCCTTGTTTTAAGTACCGGGTACTGAATATTTTCTATAATTAAATAGATATGTTTTTATTGACCTCAGTGTTACATTACTGCAGGCTCAAAATTTAAACACTGAATGTTTTCTATAATTAAATAGATATGTTTTTATTGACCTCAGTGTTACATTACTGCAGGCTCAAAATTTAAACACTGAATGTTTTCTATAATTAAATAGATATGTTTTTATTGACCTCACTGATACATAAGTTTTTATTGACCTCAGTGTTACATCCCTGCAGGCTGAAATGAGGAAAATGTTTCTGTCCTAAATGTCCAACAAAATTATGCAACATAAGATTTTACATTGTGTGATTTGTAACCAGGTGGTGTTTGGTCAACATGTAACCCCCCCCCCCCCCTTCAGCCAATCACAGGGAGGCAGTGCACCTTTAATGCATCAGTGTCTTACTATTGTTGTAGATAAATACACTGCTTGTACTCCAACAGCCTCTGCAGTAAGAAATTCAATGTTATGCCCTCTCAACAATTTTAAACCCAGTTTAAAATTACTATGCCAGTGACAAGAGGATGTCATTAATTATTCAGCTGTTAATGGATGTGTTGCAGAACTGTAGATATTCAATATTTAACGTTAAGGTGCTTATTTCTGATTCATATTTTTATTACCATTGTTGAAGTCAGTAGGCTTAAGGGTCTTGCTGGGA